CACTTCAGGACCATTCAGGATTTTCATACTGCCCAAAACTCTCACTTGACCACTTCAGGACACCCTTCACCACTTCAGGATGCAGCCTGCCTAAACAGGTGGTTTTCAGGGTCTTCGGACCTTTGACCACTTCAGGACCATTCAGGATTTTCAGACTGCCCAAAACTCTCACTTCAGAATTTTCATTCCTGAATTTTCAGCTACCCGATAACCGTTTGTGTGCAATCCATGCTTTCCGTCATTCTCAATGCCTCTTCCATTCAGGTCCTTCGGCCAATGCAATCCATGCTTTCCGTCATTCTCAATGCTTCTTCCATTCGGGTCCTTCGGCCCGTGCAATCCATGTTTTCCGTCATTTTTTCCACGAGCCAAATTCACATGCATTCCTCCCCGGCTATTTTGCCCGTCCTTTCTCTAGTCCTGCCAATTTCACATGCATCGCCCTTTTCCACCCTTTCTTACATCTGGCTTAATTATCTTCACATGCGCATTACTTGCTTCATTTCATATGCATCTCTCTTCTGGGCATCTCGTCGGGCCCCTTTTCGAAGCCCTGGTGCCCGCCTCTGGGGTCGGAATGTCCATGCTTCTTCTTTCCTCGGTACTTCTGGTCCCCCTTTTTCCGTTTGAGGTCGTTTTGTTAGACCTTTCCAGTCTTACGAGGCATTCCGGTTTTCCTTTTCATATGTTCCTTGTCATATTCTCATTCCGACTTTTTCATGCATGTTTCTTGCGGGCATCGCGCACATTCTTATTGGTTCCTCGTTAGTTTTTCTCAGGTCCGGCTTCACCATTTCCAAGGCGTTTTTCCCCAATCATTTTGCCAGACTCTTTTGTGGCCCATTTCAACCATTTCCAAAGCAATTTTCATAATCATTCCGCCAGGCTCCCCTTTGGCCCAGCTCAACCATTTCCAAGGCAATTTCCACAATCATCTTGTCAGGCTCTCTTGTGGCCCATTTCAACCATTTCCAAAACAATTTCCAAGCTCATCTTGCCAGACTCTCTTGTGGCCTAGCGCAACCATTTTCCAAAGCAATTTTCAAGCTCATCTCCAGGTCTCATCTCATTTTTTTCCTTTTGCTGCTTTCCCTTTGCACGCTTTGTTTTCAGGTAGATGGCACACCTTCCCCCCACTCAATCGCGATGTCCCCATCGCGTCTCTGGTTCTCACTTGGAGGCACGCAGACCTTGCCTACCAACTGAGTACGCGGGTGTCTGCCCATCAGCCCCTAAAAGGAAGGGTGATCAGTCCTTCCCCTGATGATAACTCACCTCACCTCTTACCCTAGCCTGGCGACGACTAGCTTGGAGATGGGCATCATCATTGAGGTGCTTCCTCGCATCCGTAAGGCAGGTCTAGTCCCTACCTCCCAGGATCCCATCGTGCCCAAGAGTGGCCCCCTCGCGACTGGTCCCTCCCAAGTGGTAAATTTTGTGGATCCAACCTCTTCCATTTCAAGAGAGTTGCGGCTCTCGATCAGTTTGCTAGTGCAGTTACGAAGACCTCACGGTTAGTCCTGAAACGGTTGAAATGTTCCGATGGGGCAGTGTCAATGCCCCGTGGTGGTTGCGGCTCCACTCGGTACCTCGCCGGACCTTCCCCGTAGACGTGCCCTTCAACTTAACGCGAGTGGCCTAGGTCCTTTCCCAAACGGTCAGGATGCCCCTCAACAGCGTGGTGTGTGGTTGGAGAGGGTCATAAAGACTTAGAAGAGCAACTGTTTGGCCCATCTTGGCGCCCTGGAATTTTAGGAACTCGTCATGAGGCGCAATTCGAACCCTCCGGCTAGAGCTCATTGTCGGAGCTGGTTCCGGATGTGCAGTATCGCATTGATACCTTAATCCTTTAACCTGTTTTCCTGCTAATGAGGAATAAGTCACGCTTGGACATTTTCTTAAAGGAAAGTGGTCCTGGGGTTGTGGTGCGAGCATCGCTTTCCCCCTCATATCGGGCCCTGAGACTAGAAAAAGGTTGGAAGGCTCAATCTTTTGTTATTTCCATGGTCGGCCCGACGACCTTTCATCTTTTGCCTAGGGT